GTTTTGGTAATTTTATAAAAATCTCCTCTCCTATTTATTTAAAAGATTTTCAAATAGCAATATTAAATTAAAGTTTTAATTTGACGTAGTAATGATACATTGGATTTCCTTCAAAATTTATTTTTGGGAAGATAAATCAGAAATAGTGTTATAGATAAAAAGAAATCTCTTATTTTATCATTTGCACATCGATCTTTATCACTTGCACATTTACAATTCTCCTGATTTCACTTTATCAAGTCAAGAGAGTTTCACACAAATAGAAACGGTTTCTCCTCCAAAATGAACAATCGTCCATCCTCCACTGTGCCACAATTCATCAATATTGCTGCAATCATTGTGTAGAAATAATTATGCAAATTTATTTCCTCCCTAACAGAAAGAAGCCATCGAATGAAATTTGAAAAATTATAAAATAAAAGCTCTCCAGATGATTAATCACTGAGCATTAAACAATACTACTGAATCAGTTCTGTAAGAAATGAACATACATTCTTCTACTTTTGTTGTCGCTATTAATCGACCGTCTTCCCATAATTCATTAGCTTTATAATCTGTGGTAATCTCCGCAGCTGAAATTAATGCCACGACAAATCTGATAAAAGTTATTGGACGAATAGGAGGGAACCCTTGAGATTTGAAATGGTTATTACTATTTATGGTTATCCTTAACTTATCAACAATAAGAAACTAAGTTTTCTATTATTTTGAATTTCTTCCCTTCAAAGAAATAAAGTAAAGTGACTCTCGTCTGCCGCAAAAGTAAAGCCAATGCATTCGAACTAATACAGTTTACCACTAAAATTACTTGCCCCATCAAATACTGTTTTGCGAGAAATCCTAAATGAAAAAGCTGGAATGATGCAGAATGCAATATATACATATCAGATTTATATTTTGTTTAGTGGGAAATCAGAATGATAAAAAAGTGAGAAGCATAGCATACCTAGTGCTCTATCTGCCACTCCTGCTCGAGGTGCGGCTGGGGCAGCAGCCTGGCAGTAGATGAAAAATGCAATATGTACTATTAACTTTGCCATATTTAAAATCGTTTGTATAATAATTTCGATATTTTCTAAAGGCAGGTTATACTTTATGAAAAATAACAGCCGATTTAAAAAGTGTCTTAGTTAAACGCTTAATGGTATTTTTTGAAACATTAGAAATGAGAAGTCAGCAAGTATCTTTTGGAACTTTTTGGCGTTTGTAAAATTTCACTCAAATCCATTTCGTGTCATTCAGAAAAATAACAACCGCAAAAGACAACACTTTGTTTCAGTTTTCGTTATTGAATTCAAGCTCTCACTTTATTTGACATAATAATGATCAAGTAAATGTCATTCGGCAGGGGGTACCGCTCCCAGGATAGGTACTAGGCATGTTAATCTTACAGTTTATTGTAATGTGGTAAATTCCTGAACAATATGTCATTCAGATGAATAGGTTCTGAAGCAGTGTCGAGAAAGATCGACATTAGCGCAAAATTCTCATTGACAAACATAATATCTACGAACATTTTTTAAATACTAAGAAAAAGAATGCGGAATCATTGATGGTTGAAAACCTAATAACAACGCGTTTTATACTTCCGCAGTGGAATCTTGGACTATATCCTGCTCGATGTTAGCGGATCAACGCTCTATTTTCCGCATTGGTGGAGTAGAACAGACGAAGAACTGACTCAGACAGACAAATGATAAGAACACGGTTTTGAATATCCAGTTTTACCTTTCATCGACAACAATGTATTATCACTCTTTTTATAGGAATTAACTGTGTTCAATAAATATGTTATTTTTGAACGTTCGGAACTAAATTCTGTTTTTCTTTAAAATTCTTGTAAGTCAAACTGCGGAAATACTTCGT